ATGGATGTGGAGTAGACTAGTAAATAGCTAGACAGTGCATTTTGACTATCTAGGCACCTCAGATACATTCAATCTGCTGCAATAGGGGGCAAATGCACCAAAAAAGTGATTTGGTAGCTCATGGATAAACCCTTATCTCTTGCAAGCCACAGATTTCAATATGGAAAACTGCACACCATACATGAATTTACACTTCTTTTTGACAACAAAACGATAAAAGAACTTGATTTGCAACAAGCTACTGTGCCTTTAGTCACCAAATGAGACAATCTTTTGATAGGAGCCTCCTCTTCATAGTTTTCAACCTCGTGCTGTTTCCTTTTTCTTTTTTTCTTTTTTTTTTTATAATTAATCTGTTCTTTCTTCTCTTTCTTGTTCATAGGAGTATTGGACTGCTTTAAGATCAAAACAGATTTAAACCCATAACCTTCATCCCAAAAACAAGGTTATAATACTTAATCTATAACAATTTGGTTAACTTCCAGTTGGTTGCTAGTATCATTTATCAGATGCATAACCTAGAAAAGGTAATGATCTATTAGTTTATACACATCCACCTAAACATAAATTTAGACCTTATTTGCATTAGTACCGGCTAATTACAAATACTTGATTCAAGGGTCAAGATAAGGGATTGAAATAGCTAAGCACGCTAACTTTCTTCAAGTAGCAAAAATGAAGATGCATAAAATGGTGTAATATAATATAAACAATAAAACTAAGGTTCAGACTAAACTGAGAACCTGAAGGGTTTCTCCACCATTTCCTATAAGATGGAGAAGCATGTTCAGAATTGGTGAAGAAACTGAAGCAAAACAGTTGAATCGACATTCTTCAAGCTATTAATTGCCTGAAGTAGAGTGCTAATAAGTGCCATTTTTGGACCATGGAAGAAATTTATTGTTTGATAACATCAAATTCCATGACACAAATTTCATACTTCTATGTGTTTTTTGTTTTTTCCTTTTGATTGGCAAAGAGTAATATTACTAATAAAACTGAAGAGTGGAGCACAATGAATGCCACCACCAATCTCAAAATCTGAGTATTTCAGTGCTGGAAAACTCAAAGCCAATTCAATGACTATTGAAAATCCTGCTTGTGGGTTCTGCACAAGGTTTGCATCCAACCTAAAACCAATTGGCAATAGGTGGAGTAGCCCTCATTGTATTTAACCCACAAGCTTCTTATTTTTATACTCGATGTGGGATTTTCCCACTTAACACGCCCCTTCACGTGCAGACTCGTTGTGCATGTCAGGTTCTGTCACGTGGGTTAACACGCCCCCCTAAATGCAGGCCCGGTATCAACTTCGGGTCCTGTCAGGTGGGCTAACAATGGGCTTCCCATGATAGAACCTGGGCTTTGATACCATATTGAAAATCCTGCATGTGGACTTAACACAAGTCTTGCATCCAACCTAAAACCAATTGGTAATAGGTGGAGTAGCCCTCATTGTATTTAACCCACAAGCTTCTTATTTTTATACTCGATGTGGGATTTTCCCACTTAACAATGACAACCTAATTGACATAGGAACCTTGTTCCCCATTAACCCACATTTTCCAGTCAACAACCTTATGCTTCCACAAGGTTTTCTAAGAGTCCAAAGTGTTGTGAAAAGTTCTAGGTGATGGTGAGGCATTGAAGCACTGCCTGGTGCCTAGGCCAACCCTAGCATTTTCCTCTTTTTTTTTAAATTTTTTTTAATTCAAAAAAAGGGCCAAAAAATAGAAAAAAAATAAATACCAAAAAAACTAAAAAGAAAAAGAAGGGAAATCAGGCAAATTACCCCTTGAACTTATTGACAGCTGGCAAAAAAGCCGCTAAACTGAAAACAGTAGCAAATAACCCCTTAAACTCGTCAACGGTGGCAAATCAGCCCTTCTCTATCGGCTAATGTCATCATCCCGTCCAAACTTAACTGGGTTCATGTTTTTGTAGGGTCCACCGTGGAGCTGCACTTGATGTAGCCTTGTTTTTTTTTTTTTCTTTTTCTTTTGACTTTTTAACATTTTTCTAAACATGAAATTAATAAAGTAAATTAAATAAAAATTTTGAATTTGGTTTTTTAATTTATATCTTTAAGA